AAAAGGAAATTGTGTATTTGAGGGGATTTCTCTCCTGTTAAAGTTTGACATCCAGTTTAAGTTTGACACTGCCCTCTTCTGTCATCTCTTTGTAATTGATGCTGCTAATTTGATGCTAACTGTGATTCTTTTGCCAGTCTCGATGTCCACCATGCAGCCTCAAATACATAAACACACACAATTTGAGAAATGAATTGAGCATCTTGTGTCATTCATTATCTAACAATAAACTCCAGGGAATAAAAAGTCCTTGGTTGAGATGAGGCTTACGTGCAAAAACAGTAAGAAGTGACCTCCTGATACTTAGTAATAGTAATTAATTACAAGTGTATTCATTTAGTAAACCTTAAAAACTCAAAGTGTACCACATTATAAAAGCTTCAATGAGAGCTGGGAAATGAACAGATCTCATGTGATAACTTTAGAGATGGGAACTGTGGTTTTCTTAGCTGAGGGATTGCAAATGAAATAGATTTGAAATGACAATAAAATTATTTTTATCTAACATACAATATATATATACATATATATATAGATACATGACTAAGGGCCCTTTTTAATTTAGACAAGGTCCCAGTTTGTTGATGCTTTTATGCAGCAGTTGTGCCATATTACTGCTGGACTCATCATTGAAGGATGGAAGGAAGGAAGGAATAATGTCACCACTCTCCTCGACCACCTTTTATTTTTCTTCCAACCATCACACGTTGTTCAACATGAACTAGTTGTTGGATATTGATACGATGTAAGCTAAAGTATGGGGCCGGCTGTGGTTCAGAAGTAGAGTGGGTCATGCTCCATCAGAAAAATCTGGCCACACATTAAAGTGTCCTTGGGCATGACACTGAACCTTAAATGGCTGTTAAGTCCGCATCATGTGTGGATATGAATCCTGAAGTGAGGCCTGGTATTTTGCATAGAAGCATCTGGCCAGGTGTGGCCAGTAAGGGCTTGGAGTGGTTGGAAGTAGAGCCAGAACGATTAATCAGCCAGCCGATATTGCCATATCAAGTGACTATCGGTATCGGCTAATTTTATCACAGATATGCGCCAATATTAATAGATTTATTCACCAGTTAAAAAAAAAATGTCATTGAGTTTCATTGTAACTAGATTTTCTCTTTCCCCAGCAGAGGGTGCTATATGGATTACAACACGCATTACCACTCTCCACAGTGTCAAGTGGGGATCTTTTCTACATTATCGAAGTTTTTCAGAAGTGTTTCATAACTGCCTTTGAGGGATCAACACAATAAATGGCTCTATCTATCAGGGCTGGTTGAAAATATTGATTCATCATTGCAGTTATTTTTTCCCAATACAAGCCCCTCTCCACTGGGTTCACTGTTGGTGCTGTGAATTCAGGTCAGGCACATTTGTGCACTTTGCATATAGTTTTTGTCCATGCCATCACAGCACTGTTATGTTTTTTTACGATTTGCTGCAAATTCAGCTCAGGCACAAATGTGCACTTTAGGTCAAACTGTACTTAAGTGTTTTATTATTTGTTCATTAAAGAATGAAATGATAAAAAACATTTTTGAGCCAGTTTGTTCTAAACCTATACAAACTATGCACACATAATTATTTAACAAATATCAGAAGGTACTGTGATGCGTTATCTGAAATCAAACTGAATTGTGAGATTGTGGACAATACCCAGCTCTGGTATCTATAAAGATTGAAGATAAAGCTAAGAAAGATATTGGCCAATATATCGGTATCACATTTTTTTCTCTCCCTAATATCGATATCGGAAAAATTCCATATCTGTCGGGTCTAGTTGGAACACTAGAAGTATATTTAGTTATAGGCTAAAGGCGTTATATTAAAAGGGGACAAATTATGAAAAATCCACTTTTACAGTGTTTTTGAGCTTATGTTTGGGGACTCACAAAATGTGAAATAAATCCATCCAGTCCTTTGTTTGTGTTCTGCATAAGTCTTACAACACAGAGAAAAATGCTCTGTTTCAAATTTCCTCCCCTCCCCTGGTATCTCCACCCATGGACTCCACCCTTTATTCTCGTGAAGGAGTGATGTGTACCAGGAAAACTCAGGGGTGTTCATTGCATTTAAAGAGACACACACACCAAAAAAAGGAGCGCTCCGAGAGAGCTGGTTAATACAGGGTCACAAACCTCCTCTGGTGCTTGATATATTTTGACCAAAGCACAGCACAGATGTTTCATTTAGACCACAGAGGACTGTTTAAAGAGGTGGAGAAGGAGTATAATATGTCCTATTTAAGTGCAATGCATGCATAGGGTAATTTTGTTCATTAGATCTTAAACAGTTGTAGCTCTGTCACTGCAGATCTACAGATTAATTTAGCTCATGCACAGCATACATCTGGCCCACCTAACTTAATAGATTTGAGACCAAGTACTTTGAGTTTTCTGGTGTATCTTTCATCACTCGAAGTACACTGATTTACACAAGTCTACCATATTTATGATAAATACAATCTTATGTCATGGTGGTAACAAAGCCAGTACTAACTATACAAGCTATCAAAACAACATCAAAGTTGTACTGGCTGTCTAATTCAATATTTTTAGACGACATTCAGATCTGGTAAAGTTTCTTAGCACTGAGTATTCCTTCAAACTGAACTGCATCCCAGGAGTAACTCCAGCCTCACGTCAAACATAGAAGAACTTGTTTTTAGTCTTTTGTGTTTTGGTGAGCTATAAAGATTTCCCCACTTGGACCTAATAAAAATACAAGACTTAAATCTACATTCGGTTAAAGTAAAGGTCCTCGGGGATTAAATAGGTGATCTCTCATCTAAGAAACATTGATCCACAGTTTAATATAAACACGTAGGCATTGTAAAAGTGGGTCAGCCTTTAATCTCCAGGTGCATTACTCAACGTCTCCACGCCAAACTCGCCGGATACTTTTGTAAATCAGCTACTTTGTCTTTCTCAGATGTGTTAGTTCTGACAACTTGAGTGAACGACCACAGCAAGTGTGAAATGTTTACGTGACACTTGAAACTCAAACGAGTTGAATATGACACTTTGTTTATTTTCTTATGACAAACAAGGGTAACCTGTAGGCGACTTAAAAGTACGAAACTCGGTCTAAAATTCCTCGACACATTATGACAGCTTCGTGTTTTATAACAGCAGACATTAGGCACGGTGGCAACCTGAGCTACTCACCTGACTTGGGATACGTTACAATGAGAACATCATCAGGGCGAAAAGTGAAGTCCTCGTAGTATTTGAGGCTCTCTTGGGGGTGCAGAAGTGAGGGCAGATAGACCCCCTTGTACAGGGTGTACAACTCTGCCTCAGTCATTGTTCGAGGAAGAAAATTCTAAGACTGTCTGCTGTTGTAGGAGGGTAGCCAAAGTTTCATGCTGCGTTCACGCTCTCCTCGGACTGTCCCTTTCTCCGAGTTGGTTTTTAAGTGTTTCGACTTTGTGTTGGCGAGCTCTAGTTTATTTACAGTCTATGGTTGTAACGTGGATACAACGTAGGCGATAGAAAATAATGTTGTTTTTTTTTAAAGAAAAGGATCTATGTCACTGGATCGTGGACAACAAATGATGATTAAGTAGCCTATTTTATCTTATTAAGCCTACAATATCGCTAAGACGTTAATCCACGTGAGAACTAGGCTATATAATTACATTTAGATTATTAACTTAACGTTTTAGTCTCCTTGCTTTAGGGTAATATCATGTTAAGACTTGTATCCATGTTTTTTCCGACTCTCCGATTTGATGTTCCAATTTAAGGAAACCCAATCCTGATTTTTCACAGTCGAAGAGCGACTTTTCCCCTCCCTCCCTCCCTCCCTCTCTCTCTCTCTCTCTCTCTCTCTCCCTGGCGCTCTCGCTCTCTCTCTCTCTCCCTCTCCCTGGCGCTCTCTCTCTCTCTCTCTCCCTGGCGCTCTCTCTCTCTCTCTCTCTCTCTCTCTCTCCCTGGCGCTCTCTCTCTCTCTCTCTCTCTCTCTCGCTCTCTCTCTCTCTCTCTCTCTCTCTCTCGTATTAAAATGGAATGTGCATAGCAGTGCAATAATTGGACTTTTAAGAAAATGTTCCTATATGAAGTAAAATAGTTTTATGCCTTTGTGCTCCATAAGTTATGTGTTTATGTGTTCTATATGTCCAATAATCCTCCATAAGTTTTCTTTAGCCTTAATATACTGTGTGCGTTTTCTGTGATGTTTTAAAGTTTCAAGTGTGTAAATCTAATTGGAAGTCTTGTGTTAGGTTAATAGAGTCAAATGTAAAAAAAACAAAACAAAAAAACAATCACTTTAAATTGAAGACTGTGTTGTTTTGTGTTGCAGCCAATGCACTAAGTGGAGGTGGAGGCAAGGGAGTGCACTTTAAAAGCAACTTGGATAAATTGGTTTTTAAACCTAAGTAAGTGGGAGTAAGTAACTTTTGCAGGAGGACGATTTATTCTCAGCCATTTAAAAAAAAAACATCTTTGTGTATGTTTTGTCTGAACTGAAGAAATAAAAAACCTTTCACCAGACAATTTCTGTAGACAAGAGAGAATAGTTTTGGGTCAAAACAGTTATTCCTGAGTTAATATAAATACACAAATAGAGGATTAAAATGTATTTATTACTGCAACATCAAACAGACATGAGCTAATACAACGAGCAGTGAAAGGAAAATCAAAACTGAACCTGATAGCTTAAAGAAAAACATGTTGGTATCGCTGTGACTGTGAACCTGCGATAATAAGAGCTCATGAAAAGATCTGGTTATGGATGAATGACATTAAATAAATGTGACAATATTCAATTCAAAACTGCTTTTATCAACAACATTCATCCCGTATCCCATCAGTTTATGCAAAGATTGGCAAACAAATGACACATCAGTTAGTTATTGTTGTTTTTGCACAGACAAATGTTGAATGGCCGTGTTGCAGTGATCTCATGTTAACAGCAGACTAGTATATCTAATGAACTTTACAATGGGGTCATGCTGAGATAGTGTTATTAGAAGTAAAAAGGGGAACCAGTCTGTAGCAGGCGAGTTGACATTCAGGTAACAGCACCTTCTTGTTTGTCCAGGTCTCTCACGTGCTGAGATTTCCTTCCAAATGATGTTCAAGCTGCCCCTCACCTGTAGTTCTTCTAGCAGCGACTTTCAGTGTGACTATATGGAAGACTTTGTGATTGGTGGATGTCAAGCAATGGATAAGTATCCTTCTGCATCTGGTTTAAGAGTTCTATCATCCTGCTCAACATGAAGGCTTGAATAGAGCCAGGCTCGGTCCAGAAAGCAACTGACAGCAGAGATGACTGAATGTCAACGAGATCTTCTACTCTTCTTCAAGTGGTGCATTTAATGTCTCTGTGAAAAGACGCTGTCAGCAATCAGCCTTTATAGCCTTAGACATCCATTCAGATCTGGCCACCAGTAACCTCAGTCTATCACCTGATGACTGGATCAGCTCCTTTCCACTGACAGAAACAATAACAACAAACTGTTATCCAAATGAGATGATTTAACACCCGTTGCTCAGATCGACAGGTAAACCTATACTTACCTCTGGTAGTCCATTCCGAGCAGACTGACTCCATTAACAGCCAGGATCCGGTCTCCTGGCAGCAGCTTCTCACAGCGGGCTGCAGGAGAGTCTGGGACCACTGCACGGATAAAAACGCCTTTCACCCTCATGTTGGTGTCCTGAAAGAGAAGGGCCAAAGTTAGTGCGCGACTACACGATTCAAATTGTCACCCTCACTTGTCTGCACTAAAATTACTAGCTGGTTAAACAAATTATTGTAAGATGGAGATGAGATTTATTTTTGTGAAACTTTATTTTATAGATCTTTATTTTTCTCAGGTTGAGATGATATACATTATTTAATTTAATGCTAATCCATTTATATTTACATTTTGTACTTTGCAAGAGTATCTGTTTGATATGATGCACTTTGTCTTTAAGGTTACTCATGGTTACGGTTGGAGGAGTGATATTGCTTAAAGACAAGTAATGTGTTGCTGTTGTTGTTCCCGTGCTTTTGCTTACCCACACCCGAAGATATATTTAATCAAGTATGTTTAGTGTTATAGTTAACGGAAAGACAACCCAGGATTAAATCAACATCATCCAAGAAGTGCCGTTACATTATTAACATTTTTACATGTTGGCCCTCAATCCCTGTCAAGTGTTGTGTCTCAGCTGTAACACATCCTCTTGCCACTAGATGGGGCTGTCGACCCAGTTTATGGGCCGTCTCTCCTCCGCTCCACTGCCTAAATGTCACGAACAGATGGCGTCTCATAGGAGCAGCATTTATGCAATATTTTGATGAAGAAAATTGAGATAAAGCTGTAAGTAGGCTGTGCTAGGTTAAACTGGCATACTGACCAGAGGAATAGTAACCACATTAATGCTGCATTCAGGTGCTGCTCGAGTGGTCCAAGTTTCCGAGTTTGGAAGTCGTTCTTCCGACTTCAGTGTGTTCAAGTGATTTCAGTTCGGAAAGTCGCGAATGTTGTAACAACAGCAAAAACAGCGTTGATGCTACGAAGAAGAAGATCAGTGAAATGTCACTGTTAAAAAGTTATATTTAGCAAAAAGTATGATGTGCAAATAACTGAATTAAAAACAATTGTTAACATTAACAAAACATATTTTGCCCCCCATGTAATGACGATTCTGACGTCAAGTCGGGAAGTCGGGCACCTAATTCTTTTCCCAGTTTCCGAGTTGTTGTTCCGACTTGAGCATGAATGCAGCAGAAGCACAGGCATGATGTGCCATGGGTTTATTTTATAGGGGGCGCTACAACTATAAAATGAAGGATTTCTCTGGCTTTGATAACCGTTGGAAATATTTGAGCTAATTTAAGTACTCAACAACAAAATATATAAAACATTTTTAGGATTAATCCATTTTTAATGAGGTATATTTAAGTGTAAACAATTTAGATATTAAACCTTTAGCTATTTTTGTACATTACTTTTTAACGACTATCGCCACCATAACCAGGTCGGTGT